CGCTCCGTAAGCACCGTTTACAATCTCACAGACGTCCAATTAAAAAAAATGGAGTTTAAGCTTGGCTTTACCATTTAAGACGCTGTTACCTATATGTTGTTTCAGTATATGGTTTTTAAACAGCTACTGTGATCTAGTCATCCCTATCACCTTACTTTGTACTTCATCTTACTTATATTATAAATGCGAAAGTTTAGATGGATGGATGTTTGTTAGAGTTTGTAGTCTAAACGGCTGAAGGGATCTCGATGATATTTGGTATAGACTTAGAGCGTAGTCTGGAAGAACATATATGCTACTCACTTTTGTTTTATTTAATTACCCGCGGACGCAGTCGGGCGGAAGGTACTCATCTATAAATAAAAAAGAACAGCAATATATTTTCGTATGTATGCAATAAAAACCCAAATACGTAATTACCCAGTCAAAACATTTTATAGAACTAAAACTATCAAAAAACTAGATCAAAAAAATTACAGATTATAGCTTTTATACGTGCATTCGCATAAAAATTGTTACCAAGCATTATTTGTGTGCCAAATTCATATATGTTTGTAGAGTTGCAGAATCACCCGCTGCGTCTTGTCGGCGCCGCGCAGGAAGAGAATTTTCATTCACAACCACACACAGTTCCCTAACCTTTTGGCCCATCACCAAATTCTCTTCTACTGGGATTTTTATTGTTAAAAAACTTACCTACATTTTCATTACACCAAGTCAACTTGCCTCTGCAGATACTCTTAAAACAAATGATACCATTTTTGTATAACAGGTTCATAGTACTAAAATGAGTATTTTTTGAATAAAAAAGTCATGATTTTTTTTCGTTCATCTCTTTGCAACTAGGCGACGAAGCCTATTGTGATAATTTTTATTTCAACAACAAAAAATCAGAACGCGTGAATTTCGGATTATCATTTCACATTTCCCTATTTTTTGTCAGCATAAGGAACAATAATAAAAAATTATCTCACAGCCGCATTTGCGACAAACGAGACAACAGAAAATGTATAAAGTAATTTATTAAAAAATGTAGGTTATTGCATGATTTTTGATATTATAAAATTACGTGATTTGTGTACATTAATTAAATGATTATGAACTACTTTTGTGGGTTTTTACATTTAAGTGAAGCTTTTTCTTAGGTCAACGTTAATATTTACGATAAGATTAAAAATACATAGCATAAAATGTGTCGTGTGTTTAGTGTTTTTTTTGAAGAAAGAATGATTCCAAAATATGTTGTGATTGTTGACATCTTACGTCACAGGGTGGTGTGTTTTACGCTTTATTATATTAGTAAAGATTGTGCACCTGACAACATTATATGTAACACGGAAGAGCGGGCCTTCCTAACACAATTGCCTATTGGTTACTTAAAAGGAAGTTCTTACATCTGAATAATTTGTATAAACTATTTTTATATCAATAACATTTTCATTTTGACTTACCTAAGTTTGTAAATTAAATATCACAGTAAAAATAATAGAAATTAATGAACAATTACATAATTATGCAAAACGTAAGCTGATGCGCTTACTCTTACTCACATATTACTGTTTTCTTTGCTTATTATTGAAATAAACTAATTTTCGTTATTATGTAACTGAAGTTTTGTGAACTTTTTTTGCCTATTTAATAAAATAACTAATAGGCTATAATACAAAAAAGTTTTAACGCCATCAATTCTAATAACATTAACACTTGACGGTTATCTAAACAATATTCAAATCATTAGTATTACAGTTACATCCCTTATTAAAACAAATATAGATTTAATGAACGTAATGTTGTCGAAACTCACACGACGCTTAACCAATGCTATTACAGTTTGTTTTTATTTTATGATACACCACAATTTAAATCGTTAAAACTGTTCCTTGCACCGTAACTTTAAATAAGCTCCATCTATTAATAAAATAAGGCAATTAAATTCTCAGCTAAAAGCGATAACGTCTTCAACAATTCACAATTCACGTTTAAACTAATCTTTTTTCTACAATTTGCACAATTTCTTCACACGACGTAAAGTATGAACTTAATTTTATGATTCTGTTGTCTGCCATAGATTGATTTTAGTGCTAAATTGTTATCAACGATGTTTGACAGTTTATTGTTAATAAACGTTTTTATAGTAAAGCTATAATCTTTATCGTAGCTGTGAGAACGACTTGGGTCTGCCGATTCTGCGTTTAATGTTAACAATGTCGCCATTTTTGAACACTTTTTTGACGCAAAAAATCATTATTTTTGAATATTTATATTAAATAAATGTGGTAGATAACTGTAATAAATTCAATTGTCTACATTTTTCCTTAGTGGAAAATAAACCTCATGACTGTGAAACCGCATCTTATTCATTTTAACGTCCATATAGAATATTAAAACGACTCACGATTTAGTCACTTTTTGTTATTTATTTGTTTTTAGCGTATTAATTGCTTTTTAGAAATATTAGAGACAGTACTACACAGATAGTGTAAAAAGGTTGCCGGCAATTATTAGAAAAAGTTACGTATACGAGATGAAATTTTTCAAACATTTAAAAATACTTAATTACTTCGCGATGTCAAATATTAGAATGGAATTTCTCAATAAATAAATAATGTAATGAAATGTATACTGTTTAAATTTTTTAGAACTGCTGTATTCTAAATTAAATAGAAGTATCCATTACAAGTGACCCGTTAGGTCATTCAACCGAACTAATCGCAAGCTAAGAGAAAATCCAGTTTCCCACCGGCGCCGCCGCGGCGCTCGCAGCGGGTCTGCATCTCAACATGAATCACTTATGCAATGGACACTTAAGTAGTCGCTACTTAGTTCCATTGTCGTCTATCTACGAATGATATAATCTTTTATAGTATTCTTGACGAAAATGGATAATGAAAATGATAAATTATTCAAATTTTACAAGAACAAGGAGAAAGATGAAATTCAATCTGCTCTTACTGAGAAACTATCACCTTTATTAGGGCAATTTATTATTAATTATTATTATTATTTAATCATCATCATCATCACCAGCTCAATATACATCCCCACCGAGGGGTTCGGAACTAAATTAGGGGGACTAGGCCATAGTCAACCACACTGGCCCAGTGCGGGTTGATCGACCTCGCACACATCTTTGAATTTCTTCGCCGATATGTGCAGGTTGTATCACCATGTTTTCCTTCACCGTAAGAACTTCGAGTAAATTATGTACATATGAGAATTCGAAAAATCGAAAATCACATTGGCACATGCGGGATTCGAACCCAAGACCTGTAGATTACAAGTCAAGTGCTTAAACCACTGAGCCACCGACGCTCCTTTATTTAGTGAAAGCTTTTATTTATGTATCTTTTTGATGAATAGGAATGTTGGTATAATACTTTAGAAAAACGTCAAGTTGTCAAGAACTGAAGTAGGATTTTATTTAGCGAAAAACAAAAAGTCTACATGTATTATGAAGAATATTAAATTAAAAATATCGGTTATATCAGCGAAGCATTTGACGTCAACAACGAGCGGCAAATGCGCGATATCTCTTACCACTTAATAAAGCATTCATTCTTATGGTAAACAATATTAAGTCTTCGCCCGACCCAAAAATGTATTCTAGGTCGCCGGCCATTGAGATGATTGCGTTTGGGTGGAAAGTGTCACAAAGTCATTGCTTATTCCGGCCCTATTTAACAACCTCCGACTTTACAACATTAATTAGAAATTGTTTTTATTTAGCTAGTTATTCTAACATCATTTACATTTGTTTTATAAATCTTTGTCATAGATAACAAAAAGTTTTTTACTGCACAACTATTTTAGTATTATTTCCGTAAATATTACAAGTTCACATGGAATAAAAAAAACGTACAGACGAATTGAGTACCTCCTTCTTTTGGGAAGTCGGTCAACAAAGGATTTATTTTTCTAGGGTACTAACTTAGCTTGTAAGTTTTTGTTTGAATAAAGTCTAAGTGTAACTTTTAAAGTTATTACTCAGTATATGTCTATTGGACGATATTTAATGGGAAAACGTAATAGTAGTTTCGCAAGCTCTTGAATATTGCTTTTAATTCCCATGTCGATAGCTTGACTACTTTATTCAGATTAGATAGCTGCTCCTACTGCAATCACTAGCGAATTTTTAAACTTACCATATCATACTAATGTTATAAATGCGAAAGTTTAGATGGATAGATGGATGTTTGTTAGAGTCTGTAGCCTAAACTCCTGAACGGATCTCCATGAAATTTGGCACAGGTTTAGAGCATAGTCTAGAAAAACACATAAGCTTTTTATTCCGGGAATAGTTACGGTTCCCGTGGAATTATTTTAGATTTTTAATGTTTACTCGATCATTCTGCAACGGTTCAACATATCTCAATGAAATTTGTCACAGACATAAAATAAAGTCTGGAGTACACATGGGATAAGGTTCGTCCCCGAGAAATGTCCGGTTCCCGAGGGATACGTATTTTTTTTTATTCGTATAGTTCGTATGTTTTCTAATATCACGCGGACAAAGTCGTGGGCAACAGCTTGTATACAATTAACATTAATGTTTTAGTAATATTTTCCCGGATAATGAATATCATTAAAATTTTTATTTTTCCCACCTGTAAGAAAAATCATTAAATACTCATGCGACGAACAGAGGCAGGATAACTGTTAAGATTCCTGGCATACTCGTATATATCAATATTGACACCAACTACGGAAGTCGGATAAATCCTTATCTATTGTTCAGTTTCATTAATGAGAAGTTAATGATTCCCTTAATGGTGTATCATTATTAATATGACTATCATATTGACACAGCGGTAATAGTTAAGACAACATTACGAGTACTACTAAATGCATGAAACAAACCAAATACTCGTAATATCTTGCGTTACAAATTAAACGTATTACAGTAGACACTTGAAATCGATGACAGATAGGCAAGTTTTATTATTAATTTATTATAAATTAATTATTTTAATAAATGTAATAATTATTTTATTAATTGACAGGTCACGCATGCGACACGGATGGAGCCGAGGTCCAACTGATAGTCGACACTTCCTGACCAGCTGTGACCCGACGCGGCCGCTCATCGGCAAAATGCCTTATCACAGACACTATTACCAGCCTCTTATTGATAGAGTCGTACTGGGAGATTTATCAGTCGTCAACGCAACCCGAACGCGTGCCCACATAAACGAAGTCATTATGTAAAATATTATCATGGAACAAACATTCAGAATTAAAATTGTGACCGGTTGGTGTTAAAATGGGTGATTTGTTACCGAGTATACCAAAGAGTACGTTGTCGAGTGAAGTAGACGGGTACAACTGGAGTGTTGTGGGATTGGATGACTATAAATCTGATGCGGAATTGGCTGCAGTAGAACTATTCAAAGATTATCCCGAGGGATTGTTACGGTTTGCGTCGGTTTGCTGCGTGCTGTTCATGCTGGTCGGGATACCCGGCAATCTTATTACTATTATTGCGTTGGCAAGATGTAAAAAGGTGAGATCTATTAAATATTTATGGTTACAATAATGCGAAATAGTACAAAGCATGTGTTTACTGTTTAACTTTATAACACACTAGCTTTCGCCGGCGACTCTGTCCGCGTGGAATTAAAAAAACAAAAGTGTGTCTATGTGTTCTCCCAGACTATCCTCTAAGTCTATGCCAAATGTCATCGAGATCCGTTCAGCCGTTTAGGCTACACACCCTGGTAAACATCCATCCATCCGTCTAAACTTTCGCATTTATAATATTAGTAAGATTTGATTTAAAACACATTTTACCACCTTGAAAATATATTGGTAACGTAATTTAAATATACAACCGTTTTGTCTATGAACATTATATTGAAATAATAAACTTAACAATTGTTCATTCATCAAAAGTTATTGATCATGTTATCAGTTTTACGACACGATTGTTTCATAATTACAAACTATTACGTCAACTCTTTTCTAAAAAAACTTGTGACACAAAAAGGATAAGACAGTTTTTTATAATGAAAAATTATATTTTGTTATTTACATATGTCAAATTATCAATTACAAATGTCAAAATGACATGACATTATGACAAACCATGGCAATCTTGCTTCCTCGATGTTGGCTGCTACTTATGGTCTCTTTCCCACATTAGGGTTTTTATCTAAAATATTTACCCCCTAAGTTTAATGGCGTGAAATATATAGCCTAAAGCGTGACATAAGTATAGTACTTTTTATTAAAAAAATATTCAAAAATATGCTGTAATTGCTGACATCTTAGACAACAAAGAAGTGTCTGTTTACGCTTTGTTATAATAGTATAGATTTCATCGAGGTTATCCTTAGCTACTATCCTATTTAACAAGATTATACAGATATTTTAGTATTCAGACAACACTAATGGAGATATTTACTAATTTTATTTAATAGCCTTAGAACTATATTCTATTAGTTTGTACTTAATTATCTTTACAATAGTAATCTCATGCAATAAATACCAATTAATACTGTCGATAATTTTAGTTAAATATAGTTAACTTAATTTATAAATAACCACTGTCTCGTAGGTCAGTGATCTCTTCATATTAATTTAATGTTGGAAGAATCGTGATAAGCATTCATTTGTCATAATGTTATGTAACCAGTTATGATAACGAAGTTTTTTTCGGTGATTTGTAAGGAACTGTTTTTGTTTTTCTTATCGCATTTCATAATAGTTTATTATAAAATTGGGTCATTTTTTAGATCCGTATATAAAGAGTACAAAATATACTAATTAGAATAATAAGAAACCTAAAAGTTTGCTTAGCGTCAAAAATAATTTAATTCTTACATTTTATCAATTAACTAGCTGTTCCCGTGCGGCTTCATCCGCATGAAATTATGAAATTTTATTTTATTGTTTACATCTGTTAAATTATCAATAGCAAATGTCAAAATGACATGACATGACAAACCTTGGCAATCTTGGTTCCTTTATGTTGGCAGCAACTTATGGTCTCTTTCCCACATTAGGGTTTTTATCCAAAATATTTACCCCTAAGTTTAAAGAAGATATATAGACTAAAGCGTGACGTAAGTGTAGGGCTTTTTATTAAAAAAGAATTATTAAAAAATATGCTGTAATTGCTGACATCTTAGGCAACAAAGAAGTGTGTGTTTAGGCTTTATTATAAGAGTATAGATTATTTAATTTACTCTACGTATAATCATAATTACATTTAATTTTCAGGTTCGTAATGCGACAGCGGTGTTTATAATGAACCTGTCCTGTTCCGATCTCTTGTTCTGTTGCTTCAACTTACCGCTCGCCGCGTCCACATTCTGGCAGCGGTCATGGGCGCACGGCCGCACGCTCTGCAGAATGTTCCCGCTGGCAAGATACGCTCTGGTTGCTGTGTCCCTCTTTACTGTGCTGGCTATCACAATAAACAGATACGTTATGATATCACATCCGAGATTGTACCCCAAGTATGTATCTTAATTTTTTATTGTATCATACTTTATAATACCTAGCTTTGGTTGCTTTTTTGTATCGTATTTTAAAGTTATTTATTTTATTTACATTAAAGTAGAGTTGAAATATACACGCAAATTACTACTTCTGAAAATAATTCAGAAAGCTGATCATAAAAACGTAGAAATAAACCTAATAAAGTTTAAACAAAATCTTTTGCATAGCTATTACGCTTCAATTCGATCTTGTTTTCTATTGTGTATACTTTAGAACTTTTTTTTTTTTATACAGGCTCTACAAGCGCCAATACTTAGCAGTAATGGTCGCCAGCACATGGATATTCTCGTTTGGAGCTCTAATAGCGACATGGCTTGAAAAATGGGGTCGCTTTGGACTTGATCAATCCATCGGTTCCTGTTCCATTTTACCGGACAGCAGTCACAGATCTCCGAAAGAATTTCTATTCGTCGGCGCGTTCATGCTTCCCTGTCTGGCGATAGTCATCTGTTACGCGAGAATTTTTTGTATCGTCAGAGAAGCTGCTAAAAGATCAAGAGCGCCGGCAAGAGGAAGACCTAGAGCTGTACCTGGTCTCGAAGATTCCGCTATGGGATCCGCGTCGACAGCATTAGAACGTTCTCCCGGGCCAGAAAATGGTGTTAACCACACCGCTGTACCACCGCGAAGGGCTTTATTGGCACCGCCTGCTTTACATTGTCCCCCTACTCCAGGCCCGGAACGATCATCATCCTCAGGTGTAGATACTCTCGATGGACATGATGAAGAATGTGTCCTAGATGGGAAACCGCGAACACCGAGCGGCGGGGAGACGGCTAAGCGACTGCGACTGGCAGCCGTAGCTCTAAGGCGGTCACCTGCGCCAGTGAGGCCACCTCGATTAACTCCCAAAGACAGGAAACTTCTGAAGATGATAATGGCGATCATGCTGTCCTTTTGGGTGTGTTACTTACCCATAACTTTGACGAAGTTATTCCGTGAGTTTACTTCACACCCTGCGGCTAACATCGCTGGGTATTTGCTGATATATTTAACCACTTGTATCAATCCTATCATCTACGTGGTGATGTCGAGCGAGTACCGGCAAGCGTACAAGAACTTGCTCATGTGTCGTAGAAAGGCGTGACGATCGCCCGGCGAAGGCGTCTCCGAGAAACGCCCGCCGTGACTAGTCGTGACTCACTGAACAAATCTGTGCGTAACAATGATAAAGCATTACCAAGATTCGTTTTGTGTAAACTTAGTGAATAGACATCGAACATTGTAATGTGCGTGGTGTAGCAGTGACATCGATCTGAATTTTATTGCATTTATTTCCTAAATTAAGTTAAAATGTAAGCGTGCCGTCCGTGTGTTAAATGAATGAAGCGTGTAATTGTGTCAAACGAAACAAATTTTATATCAATAATAGTCATTGTTAGATTTAATCGTGGTAGGTTTTGTTTCGATAATAGTTGTATTTTAAACAAAAAATATGTTAGTATTTAAATACTCGTTTAGACATTTAATAATATACTTAAATATTACAAAATCTTAATTTCAATGACTGATATTGTTAACAATATTTGTAAAAATAAGTTTTATACAAAAAATTGTAAAAATATCGAATTGTAAAACTATTTTATTTAGTCTCGATAAAACTTTGTGTATGAAAAATTTTAAAGTTGAAAAGACCTTGAAACCCAAATTTATATTTTTCTTGTGATAAAATGTATCATAAAGGATCGTAAGAACAGATCATCTTATTTGTAAAACCAACATTAATGAGTCATTGATACGAAACTGGTATTTACTGACGATCTCTATCGATTACTACATTTATAAAAATAGATGAAAATGTAAATCAAACTACAGTATGCAAATTATTGTTATAGTGTTTACCTGATTACATTAAATTATGTACAAGGTTATAAATGACAACAAAAATGTACTAAACATCTAAATTTATTAATAAATTGTTAAATTCAATAATCCGTGACAATTGCAAACGTTTATCAACGGGTCAAACCCATTGGACGTCCGTTGCTGACTCATAAGGATACATTCCAGTAAAAATGACCACAATGACGATGGTTTACAATAACATTTAATAATTAATATTTGTGAACGTATGTCGTGTGATGTTGAAAATGAATCAAAGTGATCTTGTGAATGTTTTAAAACGTAATTTATCTGTTTTGAATTATAATGGTACTGTTAAGGAGTTGGGTGAGGTGAAGCTGTTTACGAACTATCCGGATGGCTTGCTTACCTTCGCAGCTGCTTGTTGTACTCTCTTCATGTGCATTGGTATTCCTGGCAACTTGATAACTATCATCGCCCTCGCTAAATATGAAAAAGTAAGTGTAACATTTTTTCTTAATTGTTTTTTTTTTTAAAAAATAGCTAAACCAGTTGAGAAGGCGTAGATCAATATAAGATTGTTCAAGATTCAGTATTTATTATCATGATTTACATTAGTTTAGTTTTTAGTTTCATAAAACGTAATATGTATTTTGATTTAAACAATCTTGTTACTGTCTATGGTCTCGGTAAATGTTTTAAATTTGTCTTTGAAAAAAGTAATTAGCAGAATTATTGTCAATTTAGACACGTAAAACCCATACATAGTCTAATCAGAAATTATAAACACTCTCCATATTGCGGAAAAATATGGAACTATTACTGTCCTTGCGTTCATTCGAAAGTTTTGTAACATAAAAGCCGAGTAAAGTACTCCCAGATCAGGGTTGTTACATTATTGGTTAGATTATAATTAAGAATATTGTCGTCTACATCATACATCGTACTGAAATTAGACGTAACAATAAGTTACCTTTTATAGGCAGTGGAAACCAACGCGTTTACTGCGCACGTCGTTTGTTTTATTTAATTACTCAATGTTTTCCTGTTTGTATCAGTAACTATGCCTTGTTTAATGATAATTACACTAAGACTGATTTTTAAATAACATATACAAATATTGTTAACATAGTGTAGTACAAGAAATGACGACATACGATACAAAAGATAAATCATGCGGCTTGATAATAAAATATGAATCACTTTTCCTGGCCTAAGACAACACAAATGTAAGAAACATTAGACTACTTACTATTAGGATAATAATAAATATTAAACAGTAATAATAACAATAAGTTATCTTTGTATGATGAAGCGTGTTAAGTGCATCAGGTTAATAATTTTGTTTTTTACAAATTGAGAGTGTAGTCTAATAGTTTCGTCGTAGAATCACCTTGAAACCTGAACAGATACTTAAAGCTACACAAGATAAAAATAATCTAAATAATCGAAAAAGTAATCTACGTTTGCGCATGTTAGAATACCATTAGAGCGCATATCCAGACATAAAAATGCACAAAAATGTCAATAGTATTGAATTTTCGACACTAAGATTTTTTATTTATTTTTTCTTGCAGGTTCGCAACGCAACCGCGATATCTATAATGAATCTTTCCTGCTCTGATCTTCTATTCTGCTGCTTCAATCTTCCACTCGCCGCATCAACATTCTGGCAGCGGTCATGGAAGCATGGCCGCGTCCTCTGCCGGATGTTTCCTTACGCGCGCTACTCTCTTGTTGCTGTTTCACTCTTCACTGTCCTCACGATCACTATCAACAGATATGTCATGATCTCGCATCCAAACATCTATCCTAAGTAAGTATACTTCAGCTTTCTATCATATACTTACAAGTTAAATGTTTTAGGTTGTTCATTGATAGAAGGGCTTCCTATTAGTGCAACATTTTATTTTATTGATCTCTGAAATTAATAATATTCTCTGTACTCGTGAATAAGGTTTGAATATCTATTTTGTTTCTAACAAGCTTCAAAAAATTTCTATTATACTCTATACCAAATATTTCTTCAAATTCTAAACGTACTTTTTTGTCACCAGGTTATACAGACGTCGATATCTAGTGCTGATGTTGTTATGCACTTGGATTTTCCCTTTCGGTGCATTGATACCTACGTGGTTTGGTAAATGGGGTAGTTTCGGACTCGACACATACGCCGGCTCTTGCAGCATACTACCGGACGATCATGGCCATTCTCCAAAGAGGATCTTATTTGTTGTACTCTCTCTACCTCTGGTAGCAATAATCTTTTGTTACCTAAGAGTATTTCATATTGTCAGAAAAACAACACTGGCAGCAGGCGGTCCAGTTATGCGTAAAACAATAAAATTAGGCCAAGAAGATTCATCCAGTTCAAGTGAACGACGATCTAAATCTATTCCATGTCACTACATCGATGTGACAAAAGACAACTCTTCAGCATCAATGCATAGTTTAAACAACACACCAGCTGATTCCTTACAAAATGTCAGATTTGAATTGAATGAAAAAAATGATAGTGATATTATAAATGTCCCACGAATTTCAAATAAAACCGCTGCAAGTTTCCGCAGAACTGTTCTAAGGAAATCATTAGCACTGGTGAAGCTATCGCTACCGACAAGAAAGGACAAGAAGTTGGGTACAATGATAATGGCGATTATGATTTCCTTTTGCATGACTCATCTTCCGATAACGGTAACGAAGTTGGTTCATGATTACACAGCTCACCCGTATGCGAACATCGCCAGTTATATTCTATTGTATATGGCGACTTGCATCAACCCTGTTATATATGTCGTCATGTCAAATGAGTACAGACAAGCTTATAAAAATTTGTGGAAGTGTCGATGACACAAATTCTAGTGAACAAACCGTTCTAACTAGTTGTCTTATCGTATATCAATTTCGATTTTTGTCTCATTATTGAAAGTACGAAACGAAAAAAAATTATAGAAGATTTTTAATTCCATATTGGTCTATTTATATCTTCTTTTTATTTATCGATGTTTGTTTTAACCGCTTGATTTATAGGGTTACAAATTCAAAGATAGAAATAAGATTGTACAAAACATTCCTTGGAGTAAAATATTTTTTCATCTATGAAAAGCATCACATTTTTATAAAACTAAACTAAAAGTGATTTTAATCGCTACGTATGTTGTGGATAATTTGTATATACGTTTTAAATAAGATAATATTAATGTACTTATGTCAAGATAAGAAGCATGTTAATGATGACATAATTATTATTTTCAAAACTGTGAATTAAATTCTTAAACCATAATAAACCTTGACACCAAGTTATCCCGCTTCTTTTTGAGAAGGAAAGGGAAGGCAATAGATATGCTTTTTTACTGCGCAGAAGCTTTGCCGATAGCCTTATGACGTCACGAGTTAACGGTAAGCAAACGCGGAACGCAGTCGGTATTAAAGGCAAGGAAATTTATCGGCAAACCTTGTGCGCACGAGTGATTTTCATTACGATTTTACATAATGTTAGATAATTAGTATTAAGTAATTGTAAATACGTTGTCATGTCGATTTGTGCAATAAAATAAAATAACATGTAGTATGAGATACTCGTAAGATAATTGTCAACAATATTTAGTTAATATACTGTTATTATTTAATCCTGAACGTGGGTCTGATAGATTTATTTTGTATTTTAAGAAAAAAATAATTTAATGTTATAAAAATAATCAAAGAGAAAAACCACCTTTTAGATATGAATTTGAAATGTTAAATTTTGTATGGTAGAAATAAGTAAAATATTCCGCAAGTTACTCAAAATAATGATATTATATACCTTTCTCGGTTTGTATTCATATAATGTAAATAATGTTTCTAAATAAACGAACAACGCTGTTGTTACAAAGAAATGTATGAACCAAAATGGTACCAAAGACCAAGAAATTCAGGGGCCATAACCCCAAGTCATTGAAATTACCAAAGATGTATCTAAACTAAATAAAATAACAATACGTTGACATGACCTTGTTTTATTAAACTTATTCCTCCATATGAAGTTTTGAAGGAAGTAGGGACCATGCATAAAACTGAGAAAAAATTCAATCTTTTTGCTCAATAGTGGCATTTATCTTCGTACCGCAATGTGTTAAAGTAAACCAATAAAAGTAACAATTAGAAAGTAAATTACAATATTTTATAGCGTAATTGTAAAGCGTGAAAATGTAAAGAACGAAGACAAATAAAAATAGTGATTAAAACCAATGTGAGAATTGCTATTGAAAAATATCAGGAGAACTACATGATTTATGAAAAAAAAATATAGAGTAAACAAAAGTTTTCTGTCTATGAACTATTACGTTTCTTACGATCCAAAAAACGTTAACATGTGTATAAAAAAGCGTTTTAAGAGTAAATAAAGCTATACTATACTAAAATCACACAGATAAAGAAAATCTACAGACAAATATAATATTTACGGTTCAGCAGATCGTAAATATTTTTATTATTTCGTTTTCATTGAAAGGTATAGTAAGTACTTAAAATGCGAACTAGGTCAAAGATTCTTACATTTTTGAACATCATACTAATTATGTATGAATTGCATATCTATATCAATACTGATATTATAAAGAGGAAAGATTTGTATTTTTTTATGTATTGAAATAACTCAAAAACTACTGAACCGATTTTAAAAATTCTTTCACCGTTAGAAAGGTAATTTATCTGTGAGTAACATAGGCTATGTTTTTATAATATCACGCGGGCGAAGTCGCGAGCAACAGCTAGACTAGTAATAAACATACGAATAAACACGACGTTAAATTTTTTGCGGTCAACGAAAATTAAATGAAGTAAACAAGGAAGTACTTATGTTAGCATTTAAGGAAACGGTGCCATCTGAAGTTTACAACATTGAAATGAGACTAATTGTTCATGACCTGTTTAATTCCCCCTTTCTCCCCAATTCGGTTTATTTCAGCAAACGTAATTGGTTTAAATCGAGTTAATACCAATTACGAAGGAGGCAAACAATAGTAAGAAATAAAATACAACCAACAAAGACTCGATAAATGATATAACCAAAAACAGAATTCAAAAATACCTCGCAATTAAAAATCAGTGCATTAAAAGCGGGCGCACACCTTCAACTAAATTATCGCACATTTGTTTAGCGATTGTCAATTGTTTCGCTGTTTTTCAACTGTTAAGTTGCACAACTAAAAATAGAATAGTGTGCGCACCTCCATATACACTCATAGGAATCAAAGCGAAACTAAACAGTTATGCGATAGTTTAGTAAAAGGTGTGCTATGTCTGTTTAGTTAAAAGACCTTTTGTATACATATACCTGTGAAAACATTTTTAACCAGTCGGGCAAATATCATACGAGTAAAACGTGTTCAAAAACAAGTATCAATTCCTTAGCGTTCACTCACTGTCACTCGTATATTAACTTACTAACTTTGACTCCGATACCGGAAACTTTGCTTACACGGTGTAATAACATTTATTGGATTGAATACGAAATTGTATCTTTTATAAAGATCTCGCTTGCAGAATATATAATGCCTTGAATATAATTAAATAAAACAATATTCTTTACTATTTTTATCGTAATGTGTCAAAAGTGCGAGCGACCATCTTAACTCGTAATCTCGTCGAAGTAACCGCTACCCGTAGATTTCTATACAAGTGAGGACGTTGCAGATGCTTTGCCTATCATGTTATCCTACTAATATTGTAAATGTAATAGTTTGGTTGAATGGATGGATGTTTATTAGAGTTTGTAGTCCAAACTGCTGAACGGAACTCGATGAAATTTGGCATATAGAGCAAAGCCTGTAAGACCACAAAGGTTAATTACTTTTGTTTTCTGTAATTCAACGCGGACGGAGCTGCGGGCGAAAGGTAGTATTAAAACAAAACAGACTATTACGATAATTTATAGACGAGAGTTATTTGTAAAATGCCATTCAGAAATACAGAAATATTTTCATGCTAAATTCCCGGAAGTCGGTCCACTTTGCTTTATATAGCAATATAATTTATTATGAATACTATGCAAGAGATACCGAGAAAGGTCTATTATCAATATACCTGGCTATTTTTTTATAATAAAAGGGGGCAAATGAGCGGCGTGAACACCAAGGTGGTCAACGACGTCCATGGACATCCGCAACACCAGAGGAACCACAGATGCGTTGCTATTTATACAGCTATAATTATTTTTGATTTTCTCATCGTTTCATACAGTAATATGATGGAATTTGTATGGTTCATTTCCTTGGTTCGTAAAAATTACCATCACTGATAACTTTTAAAATTTCTGCTAAAGGTTTAAATTGTGAGAAATCGTTCGACCTTAATACCAAAAAGGGTAAACGGACCCTAGTAATATAATTAAATAAAGCTCTTAACCATCACTATAAAAGCCTCCCTTTTAACTACTATCTTATGAAGACAATTTTGAATTAAATTTTACATTGAAAATATACATAAATACAATTAGCTTTTACACGCGACTCTGCGTGTGGAATGAAGTATTATTCTATGTGTTCTTCCAGACTACATCTATGCCAAATTACGTCGGGATCCGTTCAGCAGTTTTGGCTACAAACTCTAACAAACATCCATCTATCTATCCATACATCCAAACTTCCGCATTTCTGATGTTAGTAAAATTTGAACAGTCTATTTACTTATTGATATAAGTCAGTTTCAGAAGAACTTATCTTGAGATACAGTACTATATCTATTTCACTTTTATTAACTATAAACTCAACACATGTTAAACACAAAATAACACCAACAAACTACGTCATAATTATACTACTGAAAATTGTGAATATAAAGCAAAAAAATTAGGTAACCGCGATACCAGTGACACAAAAACAACCTGTTTTCATAAAAGTATGAAAAACAAAGGTAACAGAAAACTGGAGTTTCATTATTGTGATTTCGAAGAGATGTTTACATTCAAAACCTTTTCGTATATTTGTTTTTGAACAACGCGAGTTTTTCTATTTTTTACTTTGAAACTTACTAACGTTGCTTTTTAAAATATCTTAAACTTAGATTGAAAAAAATGAGCTACCTTTTATGTACTACTAGCTGTTGCTCGCGACTTCGCTCGTGAAATTATATAATACAGTAAGACCTCGATAACTCAAACCTCTCTCAAAAAAAATTAATATGTTCACTTCCCATCAGAGCTCAAAACCTCTACATCATAGACCCTTAATAACTTAAAACCTCTATAACTTAAAACATTTTGTGTTTCCCTTGGACTTTAACTTATCGAGGTTCTACTGTAATAAAAAACATAGCCTATGTTATTCACAATGCAATAGCATTTTAATCGAGAAATAATTTTTAAAACCGGAAAAGAAGTTTTTTAGTTATTTCAATACATACAAAAAATCAAATCTTTACTTTTTATATCTTTTTACTCTTATCTTTACTCATCATCATCAGCTCACTATACGTCCCCACCGAGGGGCTCAGAGCCTACCCTAATAAGGGATGACTAGGCCATAGTCAACCACGCTGGCCCACTGCGCGTTGGTTGACTTCACACATATCTTTGAATTTCTTCGCCTCACGTTGCATCACGATATTTTCCTTCACCGTTATATAGACTACTGACTAGTAAAATACAATAATAAAACAGTTATATGTTTATTTCTTTGTGAATTTATGACTTATAAATAATTTAGTATGTATGTATAAGTGTTGCAAATTGATAAATTAGTGAGGTAGAAACAGTTTATTGTCGTTCCTTATCATTTGACAATTTGTATCTCAATGGAAATTTTAATTAAGGCTCTTGTTCGTATTTTGCTGGAACAAGAATTGCTCAATTACAATTGACTATTTGACACTTGTAAGGTTAATTAGATCGAGAGAAGAGTAATAAAGGTGGTAAAACTATGTTTTATGAAATATACATTTGCAGTACTAAATTGTTTTTATTTGTTTTTTAAAGTTAAGCCGCATTTGTTATACACGCAAAATAAAAAATACTCTCTAACCTTCTTCTTATATTAGGACTATGTTACTTATTTATTATGTGAACGTTATACTTATGTGAACGTTTATATAAGAATTTTATAAACCCGAAACAATTTGTTCCCGTTTTAATATGTGGTTTAATTAGTCTATAGCCTCGTATAAAATATTTGCTCTGCGCGTTGACAGACAAGTAATAAATTTACAAAATGAGAATCATTTGATTTAACAAAACGACATTAAAATATTAAATTCTGAGATTACATTAAATTAATTTATTAATGTTTAATTACATGCAAATGTGAAACGTCTTTCAAATTGTTAAGCGAGAAAAAGATTTTAGAACATTTTTTTTCATAATATAAGGTGGCAAACGAGCAAGCGGCCACCTGAACCACCGAAATGGAAAGCAACCGCTGCCCATAAACATCCACAATTGCAGATGCGTTGCCTTCATTACCATTTCCCCTTCCTATGCGTCTCCTCCACCGTCAAATCCACTCTTTCTTCCCATTCTTTCCTCTCAAGAAAAGGGTGGAATGGCAAAGGGATTAAACATCTTGTTAACATAGTTTTATTTGCTTGTATAACGTAAATCATTATACAATATTAATTCAGATTGCTTCATTATGGACAGAAATTGTAATTCTATATGCAACTATAGGGTTACTTTTATGTCAGTTTCAACATTACAGTAAAACAAACTTTGGTTTGTTTCTTAACGTTAAAGCGATTTTAATACGAAGTCATTTAAGCAATTATTAAACTAAATCATTTCGGGTATAAAATAAGTTTAGTTCAGTCTATGAACAATATACATCTTGTAAACGATCTGAAAAGTTAGTTAATAATTAAACAGATTGTTTAAGACCCGAGAGCCAATAACGTTATTTGGGTTCAATCTCTCCAACTTTGGTGATTATCGTAATTTCCTCGTGGTCGTGAAAGTACACACGTGAAGTTTCGACAGTTGACTTAACAGATAATAGTTTGTTAAACTATACAACTA